TTTCTCAAAATGCGAAAAAATTGTAACTCTTATGGACTACTTAGTTCCCTTATAACTTTTGAGAAATAAACTCAACTTTTTACTCTTTACTTATCTTGTACTTCACTCTTAGGAAATACTTAGTTCCCTTATAACTTTTGAGAACTTTTCTCAACTCATTACTCTTTGCTCAACTTGTAGCTTGCCTTAAAACAAAGTAAAAATGTTTGTTTAGGACTCTTGAAAACTTTAAGAACTTGCTTCTTAACTTTTCGACTTGACTCTTATCTTCTTTGACTATGATCTTAACATTCCCTAAATTGGATTGTGGATTCAAGGTTCATGATATCATGTTTATGTATGATTTCATGGTGTTTAGATGCACCTTAAAGTGTTGAAATCAACTAAGAAATGTGGGTACATCATTTAGGAACTAGTACGAAAAGATGTGGAGTGAATGGGGTCTCCAAGCGCCCTTGGCGCTCTGAGAGGCGTGGGGTGTCAGAGCCTGACGGACAGAATCAGTGTTGAGGGCTCTGGCTGGTGAGGCGCGCGTGGTTTTAATGGAAAGAGTCTGTCCTGTTGGCCTCTGGCTGGCGCGGTGCCCCAAGACCTGACGGACGGGCGCTTAGACTTTTATTCTCCGTTTTCATCTATACACCCTCTAAACTTCTACGGATCTTTCTCCAAACACTTAGAATCACTAATAACCTCAATACCAATAGATTATACTCGAAAAACAACCCAAAAGGACTAATCAAATTAACTAATGGCATGGAATAACTCAACCAATAAGAATTCAACAATGTTTTCTATAACTTCACTTTTCATCATTCAATCTACTCAAAATTCGTTGAATTAAACAAGTTGGTGTGTGGGTGAACTTATCCAACACGGAAAGATGTCACATACCTTGATAGAGATCACCCTCGACGAATTCCACTCGTAATTCCTTAGTGTTCTTGGCGAATTCTTGATCTTTCTCCCTTCTCCTTTTTCTCTTCTCTTTTCTCGAAGACTTAAGCGTGAATTTATTTTTCTAAAAACTGAACTAATGCTTATTTTTACCCCTAATAAACCTTTAGAATGAATTAGGAAATAGATGGATCAAAATTCTACTGTGCCCTTACTTAAATCCGAATTGGGACTTTCTTTGTTTCAACAACCCAACTTCTGGAAGGCATATCTCGCTCACACGATATCGAAGTCGTGCAACTGTGGCACTGTTGGAAATGTGTATCAAAGGGATTTCCAACCATAAAAAACTGACTCTATTTCATCCTGAGCTAGACGTTATGACCGTTTAAAAATGACCAAAACTCACTTTAGGAAATTTTCCAGATTTTTCCTTTTTCTTTCCAAAAGTAAAATTTTAGTTTCTTAGCTTATTCTAGGTTACTACGAGTCATGAGATGTTATAATATCTCCCCCTTGGGAACATTCGTCCTCAAATGAGATTTATTTCACTATGCTAAGAATAGTAACATCAATTTAACACTCAAAATCAAAAGCAAGTACAATATGTTTACACATAGTTTATAAGGTACTTAGAAAAGAATTAGTACCTTGATATGCATTCTCTCCAGATTCAAAGAGATGTTGATATCTCTTCTACATATTCTCTTCAACTTCCCAAGTCGCTTCTTCAACAAATTGGTTCCTCCAAAGGACCTTGACTAACGCAACCTCTTTTGTTCTCAACTTGCGAAGTTGGCAATCTAAAGTCTAAACCGGAATCTCTTCATAGGATAAGCTACTCCTTAATCCTAACATTCTCAATTGGCACAATCAATGAAGGATCATCCATGCACTTCTTCAACATGGAGATAAGAAACACCGAATGAATGGCTACTAACTTTTGTGGTAGCTCCAACTCATAAGCTACATTACCAATTATCTTGAATATTCTATAAGGACCTATATATTGGGACTAAGTTTCCCCTTCTTATCAAACCTCATAATGCCCTTCATGGGTGAAACTTTCAGATATACCCAATTATCTACTTCAAACTCCAATTGCCTCATTTTCATATATGTATGGAACTTTTGACGACTCTGCGCCATCTTCAATCTCTCTTTAATCACCTTCACCTTATCCATGGCTTGGTGAACTAGATTTGGTCCTCTCAACCATGATTCACCAATTTTGAACCACCCAATAAGAGATCTGCATCTTTCCTATATAGAGCTTCATATGGAGCCATTTGGATGCTCGAATGGTAGTTGTTATTGTAAGTAGGTGATCATCTCAATTTCCCTTCAAATAAATCACATAAGGACTCAACATATCTTCCAAGGTATGGATAGTACGTTCCGCTTGCCTATCTGTTTGAGGATGAAAACCGATGCTTAAGTTCACCTTCGAAGCCAAACCTTTCTAGAGAAACTTCAAACTAAGTAGTAAATTATGCACATCTAACTGAAATAATGGAGATCGGAACTCCATGAAGTCTTACCACTTCTTGAATGTACAACTTTGCATAATCTTCTGTCGAACTAGTTGTCTTTACCAGCAAAAAGTGGATTGATTTTTTCATTCAATTGATAATCACCCAAATTGAATCATGTTGTCTGCGAGACTTGGCAAGCATGTGATGAAGTCCATATTAATCATCTCCCACTTCCATTATGGAAGTTCTATATTCTGAGCCTACCTCTAGGCCTTTGGTGCTCTAATTTAACTTGTTGATAGTTAGGGCACTTGGCGACAAATCTGGCAATACCCTTCTTCATACGTTCCCACCAATATACTTCTCTCAAATCACAATACATCTTTGTGGAACCTGGATGAATGGAATATATGAATCTATGAGCTTCCTCTATAATCCTCTTATGGAGTCCATTCACCATAGGTACGCACAAACCTACCTTGATATCTCAATACACCATTTCCCCCTTATTCAAAAGCTAATACCCTTTGCTTATGACCATTTGCCTTTAATTTAAGCAAAATGGGATCATGGTCTTGCTTTCCTTTTATTTCTGACACTAACTATGATTCAGTCCCATTGGACACCACTATTATCCTTCTGCGGATTCCATTATTCGGATGCCTAAGCATGCAAGTCTATGCACATCTTTTGTTAGTTCTTCCTTCTAATCTTCTAGATGGGTGGTACTACCCATATAAACCTGCTTAAGGCATCAGCAACTACATTAGACTTACCTGGGTGGTATTGAATGCTGATGTTATAATCCTTGAGCAATTCTAACTATCTTCTTTGTCTGAGATTAAGCTCTTTTGAGTGAACACATATTGTAGGCTCTTATTATCAATGAATATATCAACATTAAAACCATACAAATAGTGACGCCATGTTTTCAAGGCAAAAACTACGGCAGCCAACTCTAAGTCATGGGTTGGATAATTCTTCTCATGAACCTTCACCAGTCTAGAGGCATAAACTATAACTCTTCCATTCTACATTTTCACACAACCCAACCCAACTCTAGATGGATCACATTAGACCGCAAAATCTTTAGTACCCTCTGGTAAGGTCAAAACTGGGGCATTGGTCAACCTTTTTTTCAATTCCTGAAAGCTTTTCTCACAAGCTTCAGATCATTGAAATTTAACTGTTTTCTAAGTCAAATTAGTGAAGGAAGACGAGATAGATGAAAACTCCACAACAAACCGTCTATAATAGCCAATCAAACCCAAGAAAATTCATATATCAGTTGAAGACGTGGGTCTAGGCCAATTCTAAACTGCTTCTATCTTTTGGGTATCAATCGTAATCCCATCACCAGAAACTATGAGGCCCAAGAACGCTACAGACTTAAGCCAAAACTTGCACTTAGAGACTTAGCATATAACTCTTTATCTTTCAATGTCTGAAGAACTACTCAGAGGTGACTAGCGTGATCTTCTTCATTCCTTGAATAGATTAGTATGTTATCAATGAATACGATAACAAACATATCTAAATAAGGTTTGAAGACTCTGTTCATAAGATCCATGAATGCTGCAGGCGCATTTCAAACCAAAAGACATGACCAAAAACTCATAATGCCCGTATCTGTTTCTAAAAGCTGTCTTTGGAATGTCACATCCTCTATCTTTCAACTGATAGTAGCCAAATCTGAGATCAGTTTTTGAGAAACAGGTAGAACCTTGCAGTTGGTCAAAAAGATCATCTATACTTGGAGATGATACTTATTATTAATGCTAACCTTATTCAATTGGCGGTAATTTATACACATCCTAAGGGAACCATTTTTCATTCTTACGAACAAGATCGGGGTGCCCCAAGGTGAGACACTTGGTCGGATAAAATCTTTATCTAATAGATCTTTGAGTTGTTCTTTCAACTCTTTTAACTCTTCTGGTTCCATTCTATGTGGCGAAATAGAGATAGGATGAGTATCTGAGATGGTATCTATGTCGAAGTCTATTTCTCTCTTAGGAGGGACGCCGGGTAGATCATCAGGAAAGACTTCTAGAAACACTTTTGATAACTGAAGGGAAGGTACCTCAGCACTTGTGTCATTAACTCGAACTAAGTAATAGATACACCCATTTGGAACTAACTTTCTCGGCTTAAGGTACAAAATAAAATGACCCTTAGGCACTGCTGAACTACTACTCTATTCTATTAATGCTCGTTAAGAATTTGAAATTTGAAAACTCGAGTTCTGCAATCTATTGATACATAATAGACATGAATCTAGTCCATACCTCGAATGACATCAAAATCTACCATGTCTAACTCTACTAGATCAACCATGGTATTCTTGTGATTGATAGAAATAGGACAATCACGATAGACTCTTTGCTCTAGAATAGACTCTTCAACAGGGGTAGATTCACCAAAAGGTTCACAAAGTTTCTCAGGAAGAATCTCAAACTGATTTGCAACATAAGGAGTTACAAAAGATAAACATTCACTTGTGTCTAACAAGGCATAAACATCAAAATTAAAGACTTTGATAATACCAGTGACAACATTTAGGGAAATCTCTTTCTCTTGGTGGCTAGTGATTGCATAGAGGAGGTTTTCCCCTCCACCAACCCAGAAGTAGCTCCTCCAGGAGCACCATGTTTGGTGGAGCAACTGATGAAAATTACACTCTGTTGCCCGAATTTCCACCACCCTAATTATACTTAGGAACTCTTCATGAAGTGACCCTCTTGACTGCACATGAAACAACCTGATTGGCCATCACGACACTTACTGGCGTGGTTTTTACCACACCTACCACATGTGGTAGCCCAACTATCTCCTTGTGCCACACTACTTTATAGGGGTTGTCTAGCCTTGAAGTGCTACGAATTCTAGCCATTATACTCACCTCTGTTTCTGGGCGCGGGTCCACTAGTAGATGATGGTGCATGCCTCTTTTGTTTATGAAATTGTAACCAATGCGAACCACCTTTTTGCTGCCCAGACTCATTCTTAGTCTTGTCTTTCTTGTACCTATACTCCACTATGCATCTCAGCATCTGCTATTCAACTTTCTGCACATAAACCATCAATCGGAATATGTCCATGTCATCTATCAGCATTACAACTCTGACCTTTTGCTAGATGCACGACCCAAGTCAACGACAAAAAATCTCATTCTGCTCCTCATATCCTTAACCATTTCTGGAGTATAGCAAGACAGTTGGGTGAACTTCAACCCATACTTATGAACACTCAAGGAGTCATGTTTCAAAGTAAGGAACTCTCGTACCTTTGACTCTTTTAGGGATGTGGTGCATCCTTATCTCTGCCCTCCTTCCACAGGTCGAACCAAGTCCTAGACACCTTTTTCAGTTGGTATGCAACTAGCTCGACTCTCTCAAAATCAATGACATGCATCACATCAAAAACCATCTTCAACTCTTCCATAAAGTTTTTTGGATCCTCTGTAGTGCTCGATCGGGTGAAAATGGGAGGATTCATTCTTAGAATTAAGCAAATCATCGAAGTGTCAACCTTCTCTTGTTAAGCTCCTCTCAATGGCCCGACTTGGTTAGTCACCGCTTGGATTAACATCTGGATAGCCTCCAAAAACTCAACATTGGTAATTTCCCCTTGAGGTTGCACTTCAGGTGCATTGTGTAACTCTTGTTCATGAGGTTCAACATTCATCCTAGTTGGACGAGCTCTTGCTGCTCTGAGTGGAGGAATGGTTATTTGAAATACGTGCAAGCACGAATTAGAGAGATATTTTTATAGATAAACTCTAACGCATGAAAAAAAGTATGAAAGAAGTGAGGGATTCCTCCTATTTTAGCCTACTAATCATAGATGTGGCGCGCTTCACACCAATGACCAATACTCTACAGGTTCAACTTCATAGACTACCTAGGACTCTTGAACCCTATGCTCTGATACCAAGTTTGTCACGCCCCAAGTCTACACCTTGGACGTAGACGGCATCCAATGACCATTGCTGGCCTTGAGCGAACCCTTGGTCTGACTTAGTTAACTTAGGGGAAGACTTAACTGAATGAGAAACAAGAATTGTTCTCACAAGGATAACTTTAAAATAAATGTCTTAGACAAAATGGCATTTAAGTCTCAATATAAAATATCTGAAATAAGAGATAAATAGAGACTTAAAACTGATCATCTGACTGACTATCGTCTATGAAGCCTCTATTATACTAAGATGAATGTTGGGGAAAACCCTTCAACATTCGACAATTGTAAAGACTAAAAGCAATAAAAGAGTCCTCCGAATGCAAGGAGGTTCACCATGACTTTGAGTGCTCAAGCAGGATCAACGAGGCACTGGATGCCAATCCTGGTTATTGCCTCTGCATCATAAGACGATGCAAGCCAACTAGCATTAGAACATTGAATTTAAAGTATGCGAGTTAAAATGTTAAACAACTTAAAGCTTGAAAGGAATAAGAAAAAACTTACCTTAGCTCTGCTCAAATCCTGAATTACTGAACATAATATAAGACAATAAAAGCATATGAAATATATATATAAAGATTTGTAGAACAGTAAAATAACTTAGTTCATTAAAGAAAATGCAATAACAAACTCAACTTTACTTATATATGAAACTAATATAGTTTCGGTGGGAGATTCTCTAACTGGCAACCATCATTATGAGCCTAAGCAATGGTCCAACATCTACCTCATGTTGCAAGAGGATCATCCTGTACCTTTTCGTTTGTATAGTTACTGAACTACTAAGTGGATCTACTAGTCTATGCTAAAAATCACTAAGAAATTACCTAAAAAGTACGACCCTTCTTGTGTTCATGTTGGCTACAAGGTTTATGGGATCTTGAATTAATAAGAAATTGTGTTCCCATTATCGGTGCTCAATACTACTTTCAAAATACTTGGCTCATATGTTTTAAAAACAACTTCTTTTCTGGTTTGAGGTAATTGCTCAAACTTGGCTTTAAAAGATCTCTGGTACATCATAATTTCTTGTTTACTAAAACTAGCCAAAGGCTCTATCTTCATTTCTTGCTCAAAATGTGAAAACATTTGTAAATCTTATGATCTACTTAGTTCCCTTATAACTTTTGAGAAATAAATGCAACTCTTTACTCTTTGCTTAACTTGTAACTTAATTCTTAGGGAATACTTAGTTCCCTTATAACTTTTAAGAATTTAATTCAACTCATAACTCTTTGCTCAACTTGTATTTTGAGCCTTAAAAACAAAGTAAAAATGTTTGTTTCAGAATCATGGAAACTTTTAGAACTTACTTTGACTTGTTTCATAAATTTTATACTTGACTCTTATCTTCTTTGACTATGATCTTAACATTCCTAGAATTTGATTATGGATTCAAGGTTCATGATCTCATGTTTATGGATGATTTCATGATTTTTAGATGCACCTTAAAGTGCTGGAATCAACTAAGAAATGTGGGTACATCACTTAGGAACTAGTACGAAAAGATGGGGAGTGAATGGGGCTCCAAGCGCCCTTGGCGCTCTGAGTGGCGTGGGGCGCCCAGAGCCTGACGGAAAGAATCTGTCCTGAGGGGATCTGACTGGCACGGCATGTCAGAGACTCACGGATAGAGTCTGTCTTGTGGGGTTCTGGCTGGTGCGGTGCCCCAAGGCCTGACTTACAAGCGTTTCGGCTTTTCTTCTCCGTTTTTCATCTTTAAACCCTCTAAATTTCCATGGATATTTCTCTAAACACTTAGAATCGCTAATACCTTCAATACCCAATAGATTAGACTTAAAAACAAACCCAGAAACACGAATAAAATCAATTAAAGGCATGTAACAACTCAACTAACAAGAATTCAACAATGTTCTTCTAGAACTTCACTTTTAATTAGTCAGTCTGCTCAAAATTGGTTGAGTTAAACAAGTTGGTGTATGGGTGAACTAGACCAACATGGAAAGATCTCACATACCTTGATAGGGATCACTCCCGACGAATTCCACTCGCAATTCCTTAGTGTTGTTGGCGAATTCTTGAACTATGCCCCTTCTCCTTTTTATCTTCTCTTTTCTACAAGCCCTAAGCGTGAATTTATTTTTCTAAAAACTGAATTAAGGCTTATTTTTACCCCTAATAAACCTTTAAAACGAATTAGAAAATAGATGGGTGAAAAGACTACTTTTCCCTTACTTAAATTGAGATTGGACTTTCTTTACTTTAATAACCCAATTTACGGAAGACATATCTTCGTCACAAGATATCGAAATTGTGCAAAGGCGCTGTCGTTGGAAATATCTTCAAAGTGTTTTTCAACCATATAACGAATTGAATCTAACTAATTTTGAGCTAAAAGTTATGACAGTTTGAAAATGACCAAAACACTCTTTCTTAACTTTGGGAAATTTTATAGTTTTTCCTTTTTCTTTCCAAAAGTGAAAAATTTTAGTTTCTTATCTTATTCTAGGCTACTACGAGTCACGAGATGTTATATTTGTCCAACCTGGTTGGTCTCCCTGTTTGACTTTGCATTTAGATTGCTTCTCAATTTTTAGCGTTTGTGACCTCTCCTTGAGGGTGCACTTCAGGTGAATTAGTTACCCTTTGTTCTAAAACATTCCTCCTTGTAGGACGACCTTGGAAAGCTCTTAATGGAGGCATGATCAACACAAAAACAGGCACTAGCACGAATTAGAAGAAACTTCGTAGAGATTAACTTTATTACTCGAAATAAATGTGAAAAAGTGGGATAGTTTATAAATGTTGTAGCCTCTTAATTATAGATGTGGCGAGTTCACGCTGATAACTATTACTCCACAGACATGACTTCATAGACTCTCTAGGACTCTTGAACTTAGTGCTATGATACTAAGTTTTTCAAAGCCCCGAGCCTACACCCTTGACGAGACCATACTCATTATTGGCCCCAAGCGAATTCATGGCTTAGCTTACTTACTCAACTAAATACTTAAACATAAGAAATAGTAAAAAAAACATATTTATGAATTAAACTTTGAATGTCTTTATAGAAACATTCAAACTAGCCAAGATACCTACTCAAGTGGCATACCAAAACATCTTAAATAAAAGACTAAGAACTATAACTACTCGTCTATGAAGCCTCTAAAAACAAATAGTAATGTCTGGACAATACCTACGAGCATCCTAACAACTAAAGTACTAAATAAAAATAATAAGGGATCCTCTAGAAAGAAAAAAGGCTCACCAACTGACTTTGAGTGCTCAATTGGATCAACAAGGCACTAGATATTTATCCTGGTTACCGGTGTCTGCGTCATAAAATGAAGTAGGACAATGTCATCATTACATTGAATGTGCGAGTATGTTGTTAGAGGAAAACTAAACATAACATAATCTTGAAATGAATCTGAAAAGAACACTTACCTTGCTTTACTCAACTCATGAATAACTCAACATAAATGAAAATTCAATCATCAATAGTAGTGCAGTTTACACAAAGCATTAAAACAATAGGTAGCAACTCAATTTGTTAAATAAAGCAAATAACATCTCACTTTACATATAAAGAAACATAATATTGTGGGAGTTTCTACCATCACAATAAGTCTATGTGATTATACATCATTCTGCACATGCTGCTAGAGTTGTCCTATACTTTGTCGTCATATAGAACGCCTCAACTAACTGGATCTACTAGTCTATGCTAAAAAGCTCTAAGGAATCATCTAAAAAGTATGATCTTTAAACCCATGATGGCTACCTGATTTATGGAGACTTCAGTTATTATGAACTCGCGTCCACATATCGGTGTTCAATACTACTCTCAAGATACTCAGCTCATATGTTTCAAAAGTGAAATTATTTTTATATTTTAAGATAATTACTCAAAAAATAGATCGAAAGCTCTCTTGGAAGTCGATGTTTCCTTTCTTGTTCAAATGTGAAAATGTTTTAACTCTTGAAAATACTTAGTTCCCATATAATCTTTGAATAAATAAAATTTACTCTTACTTTTTACTCAACACAAAACTTAAGTCTTAAAAAAAAATTAATATGTTTGTAAAAGACTTTTAGAAAATTCTATGAACTTCACTTGACTTAAGCCTTAATCTCTTAAATTGAGTCTTAACTTTCCAAGGTTCATGACCCCGTGTTTATGGATAATTGCATGATGTTTATATGTACCTTAGAGTGTAGAAATCGACTATAAAATATAGGTACGTTGATAAGGAACTAGTACAAAGAGAAGGGGGAAAAGTGGGAGAACTGTCGTCCGTGACGCTCTGGAGGCGAACCCTGAAATTTCAGAGCTTGGAGTGGGGTTCTATGGCTGGCGTAGTGCCCTAGAGCCAAAATTCGGAGGCTTTGGGCGCTCTTGGAGACATGGTGCCCCAACCCTCTCCCACAAAAATCCCAAATTTACTTCTTTGTTTTTCAACTTTAAACCATCTAATTTCACTTGTTATTTCTCCAGACACTTAGAATCGAATATGTCATAAATTTATGCAAGAATCAACTCGAAATCACACCTAATTTCATGAATCAATCTCAAGAAATTTCAACAACAAGAACCCAAATGATTTCAAACGGTTTATCATCAAGAGCTCATAATTTTCTTTAAAACTGATACAACTTCACTAAATTGAATCATGATTGGCGCATGTGTGAACTAATCCAACACTATGTGATCTCACATGCCCTTTAGGGATCACTCCTTGACGAAATCCACGATCTTAGCTTCAAGAATTTGATGATTTTGCTTCTTATCCTCTTTTCTCCTCTTCTTTTCTCTTCTCTAAAGCCTTAACTCAATTTTCAAAACCGTAAACAAAGTTCAGTTTAGACCCCTAAGTGATTACCAAAAATGAATTAAAATAATTGGGTTAGAAAAAGACCAAACTACCCTTTTAAAATCAAGTTTTGACTTTTATTAACTAGACAACCCAACTTCAATTGGACATATCTCTCTCATACGAACTCGAAATTGAGTAAACTCGGCGGCATTAAAAAATAATTACAAGATCTTTCGTACTCATCCTGAGATATGAGTTATGGTTGTTTGAAGTTGACACATAATTCAAACTTAACTTAACTTAACCAATTTTCCAGATTTTCCATTCTTCCCAATTTTAAATCTTCCTAATTCTTTCAAATATTGAGGTGTTACAATTGATCTGGACACTATTGATATGAGTGTAACACCAATTTAAATAGGATGAATTGTTCAAATCTAACTTTGTAGAAACAACGTGAAATGTTTCGAGAACACTATTATTAGAAGTGGAAGAAGGAGCTGGAGTTGGTGGACTTAGATATTTGTGGTACGATAAGTCCCACATCGAATTGAGGTAAACATTACTTCATTAGCTTTATTAATGATAAATTAGTAATACATGGTTCTTTTTCTTAAATGAAAAATTTGAAGCCTTGAAACTTTTCAGAAGTTTAAAGTGCTTGCTGAAAATGAAGTTCGTTATTAAGTTAAATGCTTGCGGACCGATTGAGGTGGTGAATACAACTCACTAGAATTTGCAGAATTTGTGATGGAATACACAACTTACACACCTCAACAAAATGGTGTCTCTGAAAGGAAAAATTGCAGAATTCTTGATATAGTGTGAAGTTTTTTAAAGACAACTAGACAAGCAACTTCTTAGAAGATTTTTGGGTAGAAGTAGTTCATTGGAGCATACATATATTGAATAGATACCTTACCATCTCTATTCGAAATAAACACCTCATGAAACTTGGAGCGGGAGTAAACCAAATATTTAGTTTTTTTGAATTTTCAGGTGTATAACATATGCACACATTCCAGATGCAGCGAGGAAGAAGCTAGATGATGAAGGTTAGAAGTTAATTTTCCTTGATATTAGTGATAAATCAAAAGCTTATCGTGTGTTCAATATTACCAAGAAAATAGTTATTAGCCAAGATGTTAATTTTGATGAAGAAGCAATTTGGATTGGTGCGATAATAGTTCATTTCAACATATTCCATTTTCCGTTGAAGATGAAGAGGAACCAGAATGATCTTTGGAGATCAGTTCAAAAGCAAGTCCAACATACAAGATGTCGGAGATGTTAAACATGACTCTGGTGGTGCACATCTCATGTCCTCAACATAGCAGAGGTGCACTAATCTAGATGGGAGATTATGTAGTATATGGGATTTATAAATCTTGAAATATAGTTAGTCACTTTTCTTTATTTTCAAACTATGATCCTATATCGTTCTTGATGTCATCAAAGATCTAAAGTGGAAGCAATCAATGGATGAGGAAATTAGAGTAATTGAAGCAAATAACACTGGGGAGTTGACAAATCTCCCAGAAAATCAGAAAATCATCGCTGTCAAGTGGGTTTACCAAAAAAACTGAAGAAAAATGAAAAGGTCGACAAGTACAAAGCTCACTTAGTAGCAAAAGTATAAGAAATAATATGGTGTGGACAATGAAGAGGTGTTTTCTCATGTTGCTCGGTTAGATACCATAGTACTGGTTATTGCTTTGACTGCTTAAAATGCTTAAAAAGTCTTTCAGTTGGATGTGAAGTCCGCCTTCCTACACGGTGAACTGCAAAACATTTGTTTATTAAACAACCTCTTGGATATTTGAAATATGGTGTTGAGAATAATGTGTTTAATTGAAAATTGTTTTATATGGACTAAAACAATCCCCAAGAGCTTGGTATAGTCATATAGATGCTTATGTTTCAAAGGATGAATTTTGAAAGTGTCCATATGAACATACCCTTTACATAAAAAAGAAGGGTGCAAGGGTCTTAATGGTATGTTTATATGTGGATGACTGAATTTATACCGAAAGTGATATAGCTGTGATTGAGGATTTTAAGATGTTCATAATGGTTGAGTTTGACATGTCGAATGTGGGTATGATACATTATTTTATTGATCTAAAAGTAAAGTGGTATGTTGATGGTATTTTTATTTCTCAAAAAAAGTATGTGCAAGATATTCTGGATAGATTCCAGATGAAAAATTGCAATTTTGTGAGCATACTAATGGAAAAGGGTTTTAAGTTCATCAAAGAACTTAAAGGTAGAAACAGTGGCGAATTTAGAGTCAAAAAGTAGGGCACCGGCATTCATGGTCTTTTCGTAAAATTAGATATTTTATATATACATTTACTAAAATTTGTATAATATTATATTCTAGCACCCATACTATAAGAAGTATAAACTGTCCATATGGTTAATTAATGTTGAGCTATCGACCATGAGGATGAAGGATCAATTCACACTTCAATACATCTTACTTGGTGCACCCATGTTCGAAAAATCCTAGATTCGCCTCTAGGTAGAAAGGTGGACAACACTTTATACAAGCAAATTGTTGGAAGCTTGATGTTATTGACAACAACCAGGTCTGATATCATGCACGATGTAAATCCCATTAGCAGGCTCATGGAATGTCCAAAAGAGATGTATCTACAAGCTACCATGAGGAATTTTCATCGGATGAAAGAAACTGGAGATTTAGTTGGTTATTCCGACAGCGACTATGCTGGAAATGTAGAATATAGAAAAAGAACATTTGGATATGTTTTGAATCAACCTATTGTAACTTTATCGACTATTGAGGTAGAGTATGTAGCAGCAACATCATGTGTTTGACAAGCTATTTGGTTGAGGAATATCCTTGAAGAGCTTTGTTTTAAGCAGAAGGGACCAACACTTATTCACTGTGACAATACATCCATAATTGACCTGTCAAAGAATCAAGTTCTACACAGAAGGAGTAAATATATAGATGTGAGGTATAACTTCTTGCGTGATCTCACCAAGGATGCAAGATCAGGCTTGTCTATTGCAGAAGTGAAGAGCAAGTTAATTACATATTCACAAAGGCTTTGATACCCGAGTCATTTCTAAAGGCATCTCCAACCCAAACATCAAATTTACACAAAATTTGATGCCAATAACAAATTTGGTTTAATCTTCAACCCACTGCACCAAATTTTACACCAAAAAGAATCTTTTTCTCTCTCTTTATTATTACATTATTATTTCTTATTTCATTTATATTTTCTTATTTCATAAAAAAAATTCTTTCTAAAACAATTATCATATATAATTCATATTATTTCCTTTTATAATCGTCTAATATAAAATTATTTTGTAACATCATTTTATATAATATAAAATGCTAGCAAATAATACATTATGCATAATAATGGATAATACAAATAAAAGTGTAATCATTAATGAAATACAATTAAATAAATATTACATAATTGAAAAAATATTTCTAATTCTACATAAATATTCAGCTTTCAAGGATACTACGGTGCTCCCGTAAATGTCCTACTAATTCATTATGTAGTTCAAAATGAGTTTCTTTGTCCTTGATTTTTTTGTATTGAGCTAGAAATTGTTGAAATTGATAATTTTCATCTATTGTGATTTCTACAGGAGTTAGACCTTGATGTGAGGCCAAACATATTTTTAATTATTATTTTTCTCATATTTATTATTTATATTTTATTTTTTAAGCATTAATTTTATGGGTCGTTCTAAATAGTGTATTTTATTTGTAAGAATAAATTGGCGTAAAGTTAAAAAAATTTGAAATAAAAACGAATTAAATATGAAAAATTAAAGAAGAAAATCAAACAGACAGCTTAATACATTAAATTGAATATAATAATACATAAATATATAAGTTGCGAATTGCGCAAAGTAAATTTGCAAAATTGCAACTGCTGCCACGTGGACAAGTTTGAAGATAGGCACGATTGGAATGCAATACATCACGCGGAAAACAGAAAGGAATTTAATTCCTTTTTTCTTTTGGTTTCCTAATTTATTTTGGACTTAATTATTTTTTTTAGGGTTTACTACATCTATAAATAGTATATACAAATAATTGTTGGAGGCATTTAATTATAGGGGAAAATCTAGAGGATGTACTTTGGAAGAGAAATTCGTTAATACTTTTTAGGGCTCTTTTCTGCTTGCTTTCTTAGAGATTATTAGCTAAAGCACTTGTTTTGGCGCTATAGCTACGGATGAATGTTGATTATTAATAGATTTTTGAATTAAATTTTAGCTGTCATTAAAAGTTACTTCTATATTCTTGTTTTAGAATTTCGTGCTTGATGCCCATGACATAAATCTATTGTCTAATTTTAAAATCGAGATACGAGAGGTTAGATAGACCAAAGAATATAGAGAGCTCGATTGACCCATTAGATTGAGGTGATTTGTATTGACGAGTAACGCCTGGACGAACAACATGCTTGGTTATGAAATAAGATGAAATATAAATTTTCGCCAATTAGTTTACTTATATCCCCACTGAACGATATAGCTAGGTATCTAATTGGAGTAGGCAACGAGAGGTGTGGAGCTCGACTCATACAATTAATCCTATAAATCAGTAACTTGACAACTAAAATTAGTTCTAAGCCAATAATATGATGCATGAAATTCAATATATGTTGCATCCCTGGAATTTTCCAACCATTGTAAGTAATTTTATTATTTTTATTTCTATATTCTTTTCTTTTGGCACTCTTATGTAAATAATTAGACTAATATAATTTAGTAAAAATATTTAATTGAGAAGTCCTTTGGGATGGATAATCTGGTCGCGCAAGTAATATAGTGGCTCTTAAAAAATCAGATTATCGATCCCAAAGGACTTGTCAATTAACTATTTTTATTAATTATACTAGTCTAGTTATTTACTTAAGAGTGTCACAAGAAAAGAATGTAGAAATAAAAATAATAAAATTACTTACAATAGTTGAAAAATTCCTGGGCTGCAACATATATTGGATTTCATGTATCATATTTTTGGCTTAGAACTAATTTTAGTTGTCAAGTTACTCGTTTATAGGATTAATTATATGAGTCGGGCTACACAGCTCTTTTCGCCTACTCCAATTAGATACCAAACTACATCATTGGGCGGGGATAAGTGAACTAATCAGCAAGCATTTATATTTCATCCTATTTCTTAACCAGGCAAATTGTTTGTCCGGGCATCAATTCTAAACACAAATCACCTCAATCTAATGGGTCAATCGAGCTCTCTATATTCTTTCGTCTATCTAACCTCATTTCTCTCAATTTTAAGATTAGACAATAGATTTATTTCATATTGTAGAAGTAACTTATAATGACAATCAAAAATTGATTCAAAACACCATTAATAATCAACATTCAATTCGTAGCTACAACCCAAAACAAAGGTTTTAGCTATTAATCTCTAAGAAAACAAGAAGAAGAAAAGAACTTGAAAAGTATTAACGACTTTTTCTTCAAAAGTACCTCCTCTAGATTTTCCCCAATATCAAATGACTCCAATAATTATTTGTACGGACTATTTATAAATATAGTAAACCCTAAATAAAATAATTGAGTCCAAAATAAATTAAGAAACCAAAACCAAAAAGAAATTAATTTCCTTTCTATTTTCCGCGTGAGGCATTGCGTTCCAATATACAACTTAAATATATATATATTATTATACTAGGTAAATTTTGCCCATGTAGACACGAGCCCAACAACTTTATGGATTTTACTTGTTTTCAAATTTGTAATTTATCTTTATGAGGCAAATAGACCTTCAAAATACTAACAAATGTCTTGTATAATTTCATTATTTTACAAAAAATATAAGTGAAAATAGTCCTTTTCTTCTTAAGTCTTATATGATAGTACAAGTAGATTTCACATTTGAGTTGCACCTTTTTAGGCTCTTTATCAAACAAACTCTTTACAATCAATAAACAATGAGTCATATACATGATAAGTTTGGCTGTTACAACTCAACAAACTCTTTAATACCAAGGATAAAATCAAGAAGGTCGAAGAACTTGTCAATTCAAAAGTGGGAAAAAAGAACATAACAAAAGAAAGACAGCTCACTACAACATAGAATTAGAAAGAATAAATATAAGTGCTCAATGAACTTGTTACCGTTTACATTTCCATGCTAGGTCACTGTTTAAGTATATATAACAGTTATATCCATATTGAGTTTCAACTTTGCTATCTCAACTATATTCTCATTTGTTTCATTTTTGAAACTTACAATCTCAGGAATATCTTATTGACTCCGAAGCCAAGAAGAAAGACTAAGGATGATTAAAGTGGTAACAACCTCCTCTATTTCCATTCAAGTTTTTTTACTACAAATGTATATCAAATATGACCCTTTGTTTTCTTTCTTTGCTATGAATTCACCAAATCTAACTTTTTCCCCTGTTAATTACCCTAGATTTCTCCGTTGATGCAACAAATTCAATATAAATGAATGACTTTAACACGCACCTTACCAACCAAGGATAATAAAAAAGAATGTGCTTATAGATAGGATAGTCATTGATTATCTGTAGGGATTTGGCATCAAGTTTCCTAACCTACCTAAGATACAAAGATTAAGCAACTCACAACAATGAAACTCAACTTAAACTCCACAAAATCATACAACTAATAGAAATACTTGAGGAGATAACAAACCTTCAAGAATTATTCAGCCAAAAGTATATAGGTTCATCAAAGTTTTAGCTCTTTCAACGGCCCTTCTTAAAGTACTCCAGTTGAACTTTTTTTAGTATTGAGAATAAGCTAATAAGAAGACAAAAGATATAAGGCAATAAAGTTATTGATCTCAATAGAAAATTAGTGATTGAAAATGACAAGCTCAACTAATAAAAAACTATCAAGCTGAATATCTAACACGAGATTTGCCTTATAAATGAATGATCACCCTTAGTTGTATGAAGGATTTACTGCAAGAAAGTACATTAACTCAACTAAATAGTTAAATCAATGTATTCAGTTAAATCAAAAATAATGTAAAGCCTTACAATCAATAGTATCAAGTGACTGGAACAGGGAAGATAAGCTTGTTTCCGTACTCTTTCCCTTACTCTTTCCCTTAATTTTCCTCTTACTCATGTCATTACACTTACCCTGAAAAGCAGGTTCACATAATTCAAATGCATCCTTCACAATCTCATTCATGATGTCTTAACGACTGAAAAGAAGAAGACATTTAAAAATTAAGAATCTAAGGCATTATTTTTTAGAAGACTATATCATAACTTTTCTGTTTCTTAAAAAAAGATCAACAAATGAAAGCAGAAGAAACGACTAAAATGTTATCCCACACACCTTTCAGTCAATATAGGGCTATGTTGCTGCTCACTCAACTCATTGGACAAATAAATTGGACAATTTAAGGGCACGATAAATGGTAATTACCTCATATAGTTTTCTTTTAGATATGTTTTATTCTTATTGGTTGAACTTTATCTCGAAATCGATTCCTATATTGTGGTGACAAGTTTTCCTTTTTCCTTTTTTTTATTTGTACATAGTAGTAACTGAAAAGGTCTCGGAAGAAAATTCCTCAAAAGTAGGAGAAACTAAACCAAGCTTTCTGGCGTAGCCATAGTAGAGTTATCAAGTTGATCACTTGATCTATTTAGCACAAAGATACAAATTGTATTACTAACTTAGACACCCAACCTGAGTATTCCAATCCAAATAACTCTTAATTCCTGATAATTATACTTGTTTAAGAACATACAATTTAGTAATTGTAAAATGAATTTAGTTTTTTCTACAATTTGTATCAATCAAATATCATATCTAATAGTTCACCTTAAATGTATGAAATTAGTGCATATCCATATGAGTATATGGAAGCTTAGACAAACAAAACAACAGACTTATTAGGTTTAAATACTCAAATGGAAATATAAGTGTCATGCGACAAATCATAATGACATTGTTAACATATTGCAGTTTCTATAAGCTCAGAATGAGTATAGTTTCTTATAGCATAGTTGATAGAAGTTCTCTAATCAGGATGCTAGACTTGTTTTAAAAGTTGGGAGAAAATAACAGCGGCTATGTACAAATTACATTTTCTTAAATTTTTATCAAGTCATAAGCACAATTTGCCATACTGCCTATAATATCAATATTTAAACTCGTTTTTCTGCTTTGCTCTTTAGATAATCAATAAAATTCATATTGTAAGTAATAATGTGAAATAATTGAAATATGTGTAAAGCTAATTCGACAAATAGCAATATTTTTTTTTATAAAAGAAAATGAAAAGTGGGGACAGGAGTGGTGGATGATGAATGTGTGTACATACTAATGGACCCCTACCAAGTTTGGAAGAATGGATTGTAGCCATGGCCATGAGTAATTCTTACTTATCTAGGTAATAGAGTCCCTCAAAAGGTTTTTTTCTGCTGAAAATATTTGTCATCTTAATGCCAGTCATAACCAGTTACTTTCAACATTCCATTTATATGCACTAATCATACTTTTTCAGAAATCTTATTTAATGCAATTTCATCTCTAATGTTACTTAGTATTTACTATACTATAATCTATAATCTATACCTACACACACACATATATACACATACATATATGTCAAGACACTAAAATAGAATAGACACGCATGAAAAGTATGTATTAGATTGTGATAATACTATCACTACTTCTAGTAAGAACAATACATCAATGATTTGCGAAATTTCAGCCCATTCAAAAATCAAGAAATGCCTAATCCATATTGCGAAAGTAAGAAGTTTGATAGGAAAAATAATATTAAACATCCAATTCATTTAAGTGATATAACTATGGTTGTGAGATCATGTTTCCATTTATACCAGCTACTAATAGTTTCTTAATTTGTCTAGATACATTTCTGTTAATTTTCTAGTAATTTTCCTCTTCATCGGTAGCAAAACAATAACTTTGTATCCTTAAACTCCTCAAACACACCCAAATCTTCTATCAATCAAAATAGAACAGAACAGGGTTACTGGAAAGACACTAACGAAGGAGATAAAATGAGGAATGAGAGAAAAAGAAATCATAATAACGAATAGGAAAGGACATACATGTAGCCGAAGCCTTAATTGTAATAACTGCAAATTCTTAACTTCACCCCGCACCGTGAAAAAATTGTAGAATGAATTTAGTATTTTTTGTAATTTGCATTCATCAAACAATAGTTGTTAGGAATTCTGATAAACAAAAGTTTACCAGAAAAGAAATATGGAAAATGAGGCGGAAATATTAACAGTAGAAAGAGAGGTGAGAAAAGAAACAACATAACAACAAATTAACCATACAAAACAAATTAAAGTGGAAAAAAACAAAATAGGAAAAAAGAAATAGAGAAGAGAAACTCCTCTTTGACAACGTGACTTGTCATTCCTTTTTTTCCCTATCAGAACCAATAAGAAATACACAGAAGCTCTTCAATTTGTATGCCGACAATCCAAGAAAGAAAAAAAACAAATAAACAAAAGGGTTACATGAATATGCTTAGGAGCAATTTGGGTTGACTTATCTTGAGTAAAACTACCTCATCCTGGGTTGAAATGGTAAATAGAATCACATTACGGAGATTCCATATGTATTAATAAGTGGTATAATTCTTTGAATTCAGCCATGTGAGATGAGAGATGAGCTTCAGAACCAAAAAAGACTCCAAACACAAGAAAAATCAAACATCAAAAAAACCTAGAAAATTAATTCAGATGGGGAAAACCCATATATGAGCAGAGGAAGTTGAAAAGAATTTTGATAAAGAAAATCAATCTATACATGTAATAAAAGACAACCAAAATCTATTGCATGTGAAAATATATGATTTTTTCATATATGAGCAGAGGCTCAAACAAACACAAAACTAATCAAAGATACAAACTTTGAAAGGGAAACAAAAAATCCATTTAAGCACAGAAATGAAATTTATAAACTACGCCTATCCACCATTTCTATATTAAAAATGAAATCCAATTTCATTTTTGTTTTCACACAATAAACAAGCAGAGAGCTTTAAAAAAAATTAAAAAATAGTTCTTACATTGGAAATAGAATCCAATTGACGCACAAAACATTTATTCCTTCTAATTCATCTCTTATAAACCTCCATACCACACATACCCAAATCAAATTTCATATATTCACACACCTAAATCAAACTTAATCACCCAACTTAAAGGATAATCCAGCATCAATAAGAATCTCAAATGGAAAAATAAGGGAACATTCGCACAGCCAGATCAAATTTGGAACTTCAACTTTGATGAAAAGAAAGATGACTGAAAAAAGCTCAATTGAAATAAAACTCACCTGCTCTTATCAAATAAAACTAATAAAATCACATATCCGTCATGAAACAAGTGCCCTCACAAAAATAAATAGTTCACAAATCAATTCAAAAATATTGAATATAAATTGAGGACATCATATCAAGAACAACTCTCTCACTCACATATAAAATTCATTTGTATGCACAAAGAACCATAGGCTTACCCATTATGTACATCTCCACTAATTAAGCATGCTTGAATAAAATCAAATAGGGCTATAACGGGTCGTAATGTAGGTTAGGAGACGAGTAGGAAAACTATATAATAGTGACTTACACTTCCTTTAGCACTTTGAAATTTAAGACTTCATCACCCATTATTTCCTTCGCTTTATTTTCAGCCCTCTCTTGAACAATTATTGCACAAATGATTCTCATCAAGGTAACCTTTTCTTTCATCTTTTTTTCTACATCACATTACTTCAAAGAGGGGCTTTTAAGCACTTTGTAACTATTATTAATTACCTTTTCATTCAACCATCCCCATCCCTTTTTCTCAGCATTGATAATTAGAATAAGTCTATGCTATAATGCTCAAGGAAGCAAGGTGCAAAAACTAGGGACTATAAATAGTCAAGGACAAAATATGACTACCAACAAAAGGATACAGACTCAAAAAGACATACTAGTGATATAATATCTGAAAAGGCTAAAATTTACCAGACAAACCAAAGAAAATCTATTGTTATCTCCTAAACAAAGCAACACTTTTTATTCCGCTTCAATAACATGCAGGCAAGTTCTAGATTATGATGCAAAACATGGAATAAATAAATTCTCACCATACATGGCATAAGTATCAATCAAGATAGACCAATTTCACTTCTAAAAGATATAGGATCATAACAAACTACAAAATAAAATAAGTTATATACAAAATCACAATCATGAGCTTAGATGTAAACAAGTATGCAATTTCCTTATCAGTCAAGATTCACAAGAAAGTAGTACTCAAAAATTAAATCTAGATAGCAAGTATCACACCACTAAAAAGGGTCTTGTTCTTTTCTCTAAAAAAAATATTCCTACAAAAATTAAAAGACATTCGATTCAAAAGGGACTATCCTTAGGAAAAGAATCAAAAACAAAAGCCAAGGAACTCATCCTAAAAAAAATAAAGACTCAATAAAACAATAAAAATTAGGAATTTATTTTTCCACCCCACACTTAAAAAGATGTTATGTCCCCAAAGCATGAAATAAAATTTAAAACAAGGGTTAGAAAAACTCTCTCAGGCCTTTAGGCCTGGCTAGTAGCATGTTCTCTCAATTTTTTATCACGGGTTATCATCCACACTTAAGCTCAAACGTGCTCCTTAGCTTCAAATTTTGGATACTCAGACTTATCCAAAACCTGTAAAAACAAACCAAAAAAATGATACTGAAAAAATTTAAAAGAAGTTACACTATAAATTGGGTTGCCTCCCAATAAATTTTACCCCTAACTTTGCATCTATTTTTCTACTACTCTCGGGGGGGGGGGGGGGTTATAAAGATGAATGAACCAAATAATATATGTTGCATCTTGTACTTCTTGGCCCTCAAGTGAGGAATATTATTTTTTCTACGTGGAATGTAGGGGCCTTGTTCTTCATCAATACACTCATCCATTAATTCAGATATTATAGAAAAGTGTTTTAAATGAGATTCAAGTTCCCTCTGTTGATATCTTTGAATTGAAGCCACGTCGCGGTGACTCAATTAAAAAGAATTAGTTAAAATAATTTTAAAACGGGTAAAAAGATTTTAGAAAGGGAATTAAAGGGAAAAGGATTGAAGGGAAAAGAGAGTCGCCACCTAATTTTTTAGGAAAACTAGGAAACTGATTAATTATTTAGCTTAAAAGAGAGTCTAAGAAACTAAATTGATTCTAGGTAACGGGTTCAAGTTATTCCGAAGGGTTAGACATCCTTCGAAATGCACAATTGTGGTTCCCGACTGAGTTTATTTTTTCATATTGAGCAGGAGAATTAAATATTGTACAAATATAATAAACATGCAATACACACAATAAAATAAAATAATAATATTAACTTAAGGTTTGTCTAACATCAATATATACAAAATAATGAATTGAAAAATATAATTCGAAGTCCTTTTGAATAGCTTCAGGGAAACAAGTCTTGGTTACTTGTAAACACACTTAGTAAAAGCGTTAATAATAAATAAATATGAATAAAGTTGAATACATGAAATAATAACTTAAAAATAAAAACGCGTCTTATTGACATGAGAGACCTTGGAAATTGACGATAATTTCTTTATCGGCAATTTTAACTTGTAACGATAACAAATATTGAGAGATGAAAAAAACTAAAATAAGATAATAGTATGAACCAAATAAACAATGCAACAAAGATAATGAGAAAAATAACATGATATAGAAAAATAAAATATTCTTACATAATCATATGAAATTAACAAATAACGATATAATATAACCTTTATAACAAACTAATAAAAACAAGAGCACCACAGTTCGCTGGAAATTTTTAGAAAGTGAAATGTAATAATTTTAATTAATCTAAAATCATATAAACAAAAATAAAGCAGCAACTATTGGATGAAGCAAGTAATGAGTCAACAAATAAATAAATACAAGCAAAAATGAAATGACCCAAAAGTTAAAAAGAGGGCAAAGTAGAGTAGCAAACCAAACATTTTTATTAATCAAACAAGACAAAGTTTCTATGGAAAAATAACAATGGACGGAGTTTGAACCCCTCCGGCCAGATCTGAAATGTAGAGAACAAACAAAGTGAAGTAGTAAAAAGATAAAACAAAGAAGAATACCCATTTGCCGGAATCAAGTTGTGTTGCTGATTTGGACTTGTGAACTCACTGATTGTGTTCGCCGGAGTTGGCGTTGCTATTTTTTTATGTTGGCCGGCCAGTGATGGCATTGGTTGGATATCCATTTCACCGGCAATGTAGCTGGAGTCGAGCTCGCTTGAGACCTACAAAGAAACAAGTAGAAAATACAAAAAAAAGGGGAAAGGGGTAGGGTTCTGTTTGGTTAGCTGTACGTGAAGGAACGGGGTTGGGTTTAGCAGCGATTTGGTGGCTGGTTAGAACTGAAAAGCGATGAGGCTTTCACCGTAGATGATTTTCATGGCAAGAATGGACGCAAATAAAGTGATAAAGGGTCTGGTTGTTTGCAAAAGCTCACTGAAAAAGGAAGATAAAGGGAGGCTGGGGTTTAGTTTAGTTGTTGTTTGCTGGCAGTTTTGGGAATTTGAGGTGGTGGTTTGGCCGGGAGTCACTTGTTGTTGTTTGCTGCAGCTAAAGAGAGCTGCTGACAACAGCAGCGAAGAGGAGAAGCGTTGGGTTAACTTTTCACCAGAAAAAATGGAAAAAGAAATGGGTTAGAGCAACCGGGTCTTTTGGGCGGTGGACTTGTCGGATTTCGGCTGAACTTTGGTAACTTGCTGGAAAATATGAACACTAAAAAGAAGTCTTTCAAGACCAAAGGAAATCTGAAAATTACCACTAACATTTTTATCCACCACCTAACTTAATGGACAAACATTTCTTTAAGTAAAAATAACTTAAATACATAATTATAATTTTTATATTCTCTAATTTTTCTTACTTTTTTTAAATATTACATAATTTCTTATTTTTTTTATTTTAGTGTAAGTTTTTAGATATATTACACTCTCTTCTATAATACACATTTACCAATTTTAATGCCTATTTTTTCTCCATTAAAACACTCAACCTCTTAAATCAGTTTTTGAATTTTAAATTTTATCCATTTAAACACTCAACCTTTTAATCAGCTTTTTGATTTTGAATTATTAAATTTAATTAAATTTAAATAAAAGAACAAATTTTGAAATTTTGAATTTCAAAATTCAAAAAATTAGGAAGCAGGGTAACTTCCCATGCATTCTACCGTTTTGTTCTTACCAAAGTCAACTTTCACTTATTTTTTTTCCTTAATCGTCTTCATTCGACTATTTCTTCATAATTTTGAATCTTCTCAACCCAGCATATTTTTTTATTTTCTTCTTTTTATTCTTAATCCATATTCGACTATTTCTTCCTAATCTTGAATCGTAAGAACCCAGACCTTTTTTATAGTTAATCCATCATCAATTCGTATATTCTTCTCTTTTTTGTTTTTGTTAATTACATCATAGTAATGGATCCGTCAATTAATAGAAGGATATATGATATTAGTAAAAATTTTAAGGAATTAAAATTGTCTCGGGTTAGTATTTTGGTACTTAAAACTGTTGTTAAAATTAGTAAAAATTTTAAGGAATCAAGTGTGCTTGCTGATACATTTGAATAAGTGTGTATAGTGTTTTAGATGGTGAATTGATACATGAATTTGTTGTGTATCATAATATTTTATATGTATCATGAAGTTTTGAAAATTGTTATAATGTATCATTCAATAAGTTTAGTAAATGCGTCATCAACTGTGCTTGATGATACATATAGAATCAGTGTGTACAGTGTTTAGTCAATGCACTGATACATGTAGTAGATATGTATCACATGTTTTGCGTGTAGTATGAATTTCTGAAAACTGATATCATGTATCAGTAAGGTATTAGTTGTTTAGTTGATGTACTGATACATGTTTTGAAAATTGTTATAATGTATCATTCACTAAGTTTAATAAATGCGTCATCCATTGTACTTGATGATACATATAAAATTAGTGTGTATATTATAGTCGATGTTTCTGATACATGTATTAGATATGAATCACATGTTATAATGTTTTAGTTGATTCACTGATACATGTACGTTGTCGTTTGTCAATGTATTTGCAGGATGAAGTAAAGACCAAATGAGTAACGCCAAGTGGGGAGATGACAATGATTTTTGTTTCCAAGATTCTTTTATTTTATGTTGTTAGGACTTAGGAATAGGAGAGATCCAATGACAAGAGGAGCATGAGTGAAAAATAATTATGTTTTTTTTTAGTTTTGTTACTTTTTGTTTTTAATTGCAGTAGCAGTTTCCCAGATTATGAAAAAAGTAATACAATACAACAAGAGCAGAAACTAACGAGTAAATATGCATTTATATATATTGTCCTCTTCTTATTGCTCTTTCAATTAGTTCAAACCTTTTCCTCAACTTATGGCTTACTATGACAAATACTTGTATTCTGGGTAGACCAATACACATAAGAAAACAAAAATTGATGTCGCCACCTACAAAGCAAAAAATTTACAGTAACAAGAGGCTGCCTGTCTGCTGCTGGGTTGTCTAGGGTCGTACCTTAAAGAAAAAAAAATTGAGATTTCGTAGAGCAAAATTAAATTTCGAATAATGTTTCACTGTCGAGTTGTACAACTGATTTTTTTGGGACTAACCTTGCTTAAGAAGCTTGCAATTGAGGACCCACATCTGTGTTTCCACTGACGACTAAATTTCTTTCCGCCATGATTGTTCATAAAAAATGTTTTCAAAATAGATGATATAATTTTGATTTTCAAAATTTGAAATCAATATCCAGTTACGTGCTGATTTTATGGTGATTAATGATCTGTTACCTTAAAATTAAGCTGTTTTAGTAACAACATTAATTGTACCATTTTTTCCCCATTTTTTCTCAACAGTTTAAACTTACCATGTATCATTTACCATGTATCACTAGAGTCTAAAGTATTACGGAACTACAAATTTAAGGGATTTTTTGTAAATACTAAATTTGTTGGGACAGAATGTAATTATTGAATTACACTATGGGATTCCTTAAATTTTTACTTTCTTTAAATAGGATTGTAATACAAAATGCGCCCAAGTTATGGACTTGAAATTATGGCTCAAGTATGAATTTTTAGACTTCACAAAATATGAAAATGAATATTAATAAAATAACAGAGAAAAATGAATATGAAAAAAAATATAATGAATATAATTAATTACATGTTAATTTTGGTTGTGGCAAAATAATATGTACATAACAACCGATATAGATCCTAATACTTCGAGAAAAATGATGATTATCTTACAAATATCATTAAAATAACAAAATGTGTATTTTTGAAGTATTTAAAATAGAATGCTCAAAAGTACTAATTTTAAAACTATCATACCAAAATTTGATGTCAACAACTTGCCCCTTTGTTTTATTAGGATCAATGAAACAGATTCTAATCAAACAAAGTTGATGAACCCAAATTTGATTTGGTAAACTTTGAACAAAACAAAATGAGATGTTAGTAGAGATTTTGAGAAATATTCTACATCCGTCGATTGGGCTGAAAATAATAAATAAAGACAAAGATTTATTGTACACTGGGAACATTCACATACATTAGATGTTACTTTCAGAATTTCAAAATGAAGGTGGTGTACCTTATTGAAAGGAGGTTGACGTGAATAACATCTCACTTTAAACGAGGTGACAACCTAACATGTCTCTTTGAAAGGCGAACGATCTAATTTGAACATAACATGTCACTTTGAACGAGGTGACAACCCAACGTGTCTCTTTGAAAAACGGAAGATCCAACTTGAACTTAAAATGTAACTTTGAATAAGGTGACAACCTAACTTAAATATAACATGTCACTCTGAACGAGGTGACAACCCAACGTGTCTCTTTGAAAGGCAGACGACCCATCTTGAACTTAACATGTAACTTTGAACGAGGTGACAACCTGACTTAAATATAACATGTCGCTTTGAACGAGGTGACAACCCAACATGTCTCTTTGAAAGTCGGACTACCCAACTTGAATATAACATGTCAGTTTTAACGAGATGATGACCCAAAGTGTCTCTTTAAAAGGTGAACGACCCAAATTGAACATAACATAGCACTTTGAACAAGGTGACGACCGAACGTGTCTCTTTTAAAGGCAGACGATCCACTTGAATATAACATATCACTTTGAACAAGGTGACGATCGAACGTGTCTCTTTTAAAGGCAGACGATCCAACTTGAATATAACATGTCACTTTGAACGAGGTGACGACCGAACGTGTCTCTTTGAAAGGCGGATGATCCAACTTGAACATAACATGTCACTTTGAAAGAGGTGACAACCCAACGCGTCTCTTTGAATGGCGGACGACCCAACTTGAACTTAACATGTCATTTGAAGGGAGATGACAACTCAATCTTGTCTCTTTGAAAGGCGGACGACCCAACTTGAACATAATATGTCACTTGAATGGAGGTGACAAACCAATATTGAACTTAACGTGTCATTTGAAGGGAGATGACAATCCAATCTTGAACTTAACGTGTCATTTGAAAGTAGATGACAACCAACGTGTCTCTTTGAAAGGTGGACGACCCAACTTGAACTTAACATGAATGACGTATCACAAAATCTACAATATCAAAATGTTAGTAGCAAATATAACATAAATTATGCAAACATGACCATATGAACAATGCAATAATTCAAACTTAATAACACCATGAATAAAATAAAATGCTAATTTAAAATGGAGTAACAAAATAAAAAGTGTCATATTGAATGACATGACAAATCAATTTGAAAAAAATTAATTTATTTGAGATAATAAATTAATTTTTTAAAAGATATCATTTTGAAAGGTATGATGACCTAAAAAAATCATTTTAAAGGGTATGACTACCCAAATTTAAGAAAATGTCATTTTGAAGAGTATGACGACCCAAATAAAAAAGTCATTTTGAAAAAAAATGTAACTTTGAAGGGTATGACGACCCAAAAAATAAAAAAAAGTCACTTTGAAGGATATGCGGTCCAAAAATAATAGATGTCATTTTGAAGGATACGATGACCGAAAAATAATAAAAAATAAACAATGTCATTTGAAGGATATGACGATCCAAAAATAAAAAAGATACATAACAGTACAAAATATAATTTTAACTATGAAATGGTCCACAAAGTTACTTTGGATTAATATGGGGCATAAATTTAAAATGATGTCAGTTTGAAAGGTATGACAACCCAAATTTAAAAGATGTCATTTTGAAGGTATGATTACCGAAAAATGAAAAGATGTCATTTTGAAGGATATGACTACCAAAAATGTAATTTGAACTTTGAAGCGGTCCATAAAGTTATTTGGACAAATACGAAAAGTGAGTTTCACCCATTTTTATTTATGAACATTAAAACAAATTTTAACTTGGTTAGCACCAACAATAGTATTGTACAAAAAAATTTCACAATTCTTTATCTTTTAACTTAGATTGATTTCATGGTAAATCCTATGAATTTAAGTGGTACCTCAAATGTACTTAAGTAACGACAAGATTTTTCCATCTTGCTACAAACAAAGACTTTAAACTACACCTAAAATCATGTTTCAAGTGCTCTAACTATAAATAAAGGTCCCAATTTGCACACATTTAAAGTATTTTGATTTGGGAACATCTGCAAAAGTACACTCACACTCCGAAAAAAAGTTTAACACATGCATTGTGATACCATAGGCTTGACTTTCATGGAAATCTCCACTAATGTGAGAATATTTGAATTGAAATAATGTAGGGCTTGTTAATAGCTTGTAATGTAGGCTTAGGGTCGGTAGGATGTCATTTGGGATAAAAGTGATTTATTCTCTTCTTGAGCATTGCACTAAATAGATGCTTTCAACATTTGTTACGCTTTTAACATTTGATTCTCTTTGTTGTCCCTTCCTTTGCACTTTTTGACTTCTTTGGAACTTTGATTATCTGAGGTTTTTCCCTTTTCATCATATTTTGAACTTTCTCCTTTTTGTTTAGAGCATTTTTTTCTTCTTTTTTTTTTTTGAAATTTTACTTCTTTCTTTGAAGTCATTTTTATACTCTCAATTTTCAGGGACCTTGATAAATTTTGAACTTTGGATTTTCTTTGTAACTTGCACGTATTCAGTGCGCTCACGAAAGTCAGTCCAAAAGAGGATTAATGCGTATAAGCACTCAGAAAAGGTGTAGGCTAAATGTGCTTGTCCAAAGAAAAGGCTTAAGGATCAAAATGGGTCACACTAAGAATTTATGTCATTTAGTTGGCTTTGAAAGTCTTAAACGGGTCAAAGGAGGCCTACAATCATTTACAAATCAAACATTACTCAGAATTTCGCCTCAATAACATTTAGGCCAAGTTATAGATCAACAATGCGAAACAATTGAATTTGATTCAAAATTTACCACACAATGCACATGAAACAAAGAATCTAGTTTTATTCTAATCTTGAATGTATTCAAGAGAATATTTACGAGTGTAACAAAAGTATGAATGAGAGGCACCAAAAGAATCTAATTTAAGAAGAAGTCAATATTCTTTATTGTACAAATTATTTTTCACTTGCACACTTGAATTGTGTTGGCACCAACCAAGTCAAAAATGATTTCAAAAATATAAACATTAAAAGAATAAAAAATAGAAAATCTTTGAGTAAAGAATACCGAACCCAATAAGGGCTGTCTACGTATCTCATTGATGAGAATCAGGTTTGCACAATTCTTTCAGATTTGACATAAAATCTATAAACAACAACTGAATTTTTGAGAGGAAAAATAATAAGAAGAAAAACCAATGAGCCACATTGAAAGGCGGCCAACCCAAATTCAACAAAATATTTTTTTTACTATTTAAAGAAAATTTTACAAGGATGAATAAATCAGTGAGTCACATTGAAGCGCCGACCACCAAAATTTAACAAAAAAGTAACAAAAACAAAATAAGAAATTAATGAGTCACATTGAAAGTCGGACTACCCAAACTTAACAAAAAAACAAATTTTATTAATTATATAAAAAATAACAAAAGTAAAAAATGGATGAGTCACATTGAAGGGCGGACAATCCAACTTAAAAAAAATAAATTAAAACAATATTTTCAGTGAAATGTAAAATAAATAAAATCAAAGATATAGAATGAATATAACATCATGTACAAAAGTTAATACAAAAGATACAAATAAACTCGGAGTGATGCCTCCCAAATCTGAGTCTGAGTACAACCTTGATGAAATTTTTGAGGGGCTTCCTTACAAATTTTGCCCCTGTTTCAGCTTTAACAACCTCCGATATTCAATCTTGTACGAATTGTCTTCTTTGTAAAATTTTTGGAGACATCCTCAAAATATTTTGCCCAAGTTTCCGTTTTTAAAATTTAGAAAGCTTACAGGGAGCATGACCAAGCCCTTATAGCGCCTATGTATCCCATTGAAAAGGAATCAGGTCAAACGTAGTTCCAACAGAGTATAACTTGGAGGGAGAATGATCTGAAGTTATGAATATTCTAAAAAGAGATGACCAAGAGTGGATTTTGAAAGACCAGGAACCTAGGTGGACAACCTAGGCTGGAACTCACGACAACCATTGGACGCATGACGAACCAATAAATTGTCGATCATTCCGAAAAAAGGTTGATTATAAAATGTTTGTTTGCGGTTTCGCAATACCATTCTTTAATATACTATATTTATGTCAGAATATATCATGGATGCAACAATAATGTACAAAAATTAATGAGTATAATATGCAAATAATCAACAAAATATACAAAATATAATAAATAAAACAATGAAAGTACAATTTCCTCAATTTGAAAAAATAAACGCATAATGGTTAGAACCTGTAAGTCTCCAGCAGAGTCGTCATTCTATTGACATCCTTTAAATAGAACAATGTCACGATGACTCAATTAAAAAAGAATTAGTTAAAAGAATTTTAAAATGGGTAAAAGGATTTTAGAAAGGGCTTTAAAGGGAAAAAGGGAATCGCCGCCTAATTTTTAAGGAAAACTAGGAAACCAATTAATTATTTAGCTTAAAAGAGAGTCTACGAAACCAATTTGATTCTAAGCAAGAGGTTCAAGTTATTTCAAAGGGTAAGGGTTAGGCATCTTTCAAAATCCACAATTGTGGTTCCCGATTGAGTTTATTTTTTCAAATTGAACAAGAGAATAAAATAATGTACAAATATAATAAACATGCAATAAATATATACAAAATAATGAATTGAAAAATATAATTCGAAGTCCTTTCGAATAACTTCAAGGAAACAAGTCTTTGGTACATGTAAACACACTTAGTAAAAGTGTTAGTAATATATAAATATGAATAAAACTGAATACATGAAATAATAACTTAAAAATAAAAACTCATCTTACCAACACAAGAAACCTTGAAAATCGACGATAATTTCTTTATCGGTCAATTTTAACTTGTAATCATGACAAATATTGAGAGACAAAAAAAATAAAATAAAATAACATTATGAACCAAATAAACAATGCAACAAAGATAATGAGAAAAATAACATGATATAGAAAAATAAAATAATCCCACATAATCATATGAAATTAACAAATAATGATAATAATATAAACTGCATAACAAACTAATAAAAACAAGAGTACCACAGTTCGCTGAAATTTTTTTAGAAAATGAAATGTAATAATTTTAATAAATCTAAAATCATATAAACAAAAATAAAGCAGCAACTATTGGATGAAGCGAGTAATGAGTCCATAAATAAATACAAGCAAAACCGAAATGACTCAAAAAGTTAAAAAGAGGGCAAAGTAGAGTAGCAAACCAAACATTTTTCTTAATCAAAGAAAACAAAGATTCTATCGAAAAATAACAACGGCCGGAGTTTGAACCCCTTCGGCCAGATCTGCAACATAGAGAAAAAACAAAGTGAAGTATTAAAAAGATAAAACAAAGAAGTATACCCAATTGCTGGAATCAAGATAAAACAAAGAAGAATACCCATTTGTCGGAATGAAGTTGTGTTGCTGATTTGGACTTGTGAGCTCACTAATTCTGTTCGCCAGAGTTGGCGTTGCTATTTTTCGATGTTGGTCGGCCAGTGATGGCATTGGTTGGAGATCCATTTCACATGGTAGTGCGGGCCGGAGTCGAGCTCACTTGAGACCTGCCAAAGGAACAAGTAGAAAAATACGAAAAAATGGTTAAAGGGGAAGGGTTCTGTTTGGTTAGCTGTACGTGAAGGAACGGGGCTAGGTTTAGCAGCGATTTTGTGGCCGGTTAGAGCTGAAGAGCGATGAGGATTTTGGTTGTTTGCAAAAACTCACTCAAAAGGGAAGAAAAGGGGAGGTTGGGGTTTAGTTTGGTTGTTGTTTGCTGGCGGTTTGAGGGGTTTCAGGTGGTGGTTTGGCCGGGGAAAATGGGTCCCTTGTTGTTGTTTGCTGCTGCTAGAGAGAGCTGCTGGCAGCAACAGCGAAGAGGAGAAGCGTTGGGTGAACTTTTCACCGGGAAGAAATGGAAAAAGTAATGGGTTAGAGCAATCGGGGTCTTTTTGGGTGGTGGACTTGTCGGATTTCGGCTGAATTCCGGTAACTTGCCGGAAAATATGAACACTAAAAGAAGTCTTTCAAGATCAAAAGAAATCTGAAAATTACCACTAACATTTTTATCCACCACCTAACCTAATGGACAGACTTTTTTCTTCAAATAGGAATTGTAATACATTGGGTCCAAGTTATGGGCATGAAATTGTAGCTCAAGTATCTGTGCATACAAATTATATTCATATTTAAATTAATGTTTAGACTGCAGAAAATATCAAAATGAATATTAACAACGTAACAAAGAAAAAATGAATATGAAAAAAATATATAATAAACTTAATTAATAAGAAAAAATGAATATGAAAAAAATATATAATAAACTTAATTAATTACATGTGAAAAATGCAATTTAACAGAAATAATGATTTTATAAAAAATGAACAAATATTTGAAAGTTTGGTTGTGACAAAATAATATAAACATAACAACCGATATAAATCCTAATACTTCGAGAAAAATAATGATTATCTTACAAATTGTATTAAAATGATAAAACGTGTATTTTGAACGATTTAAAATAAAATACTCAAAAGTATGAACTATAAAACTATCAAACCAGAATTTGGTGTCAACACCCTCAACTCTAAAACATCATTATTTACAATATTTTCACTTTTGTACTCTTTCTCATCATCGATATTAAGGAATAAAGTATAAAATACTCAAAAGTATTAACTTTAAAACATCATTATCTGAGCCAAATTTATCTATTTCTTGTGTGATCTCAACTCTTCCTTCAATCATTTGGGTTGTCATGTATGTCAGACCATCACTGGATAAACTCTTTGAACTTTAGCAGTTGAGTTTGTTCTTGTAGCCAAGATTGGACTCACTATCTCCGCTTCTTCTTAACTTTCTCTTTATTGGGATGCAATCTCTAGGCCAGTAATTTCTAATTGAATAGCGTCAAGCGCATCTTCCACACATTCAAACATTTGTTTAGCGATTTTAGAATTAACTTTGTCCAACATGTTCGTACATTTCATAAGTGAAACTTATTTTGTGTTCTGCCCCTACCAACATCACAAACAAGAGAAGAATTATAATAGGGGTTTGGGGGAACGGAATCAAATTTCGGACAAAAAATCCAATGAATATACTGACGACCACATATATAACATAAAGGACTTTCATCACCCAACCACAATTAACCCCAATCATCCATATCAGTAAGAGTACCAAAATATTCAATGAAAGAAGAAATAATAATAATTTTTGAAAAAAAAAAACTAATTGAAAAAAGTAAATAAAAAAAAGAAGTATAACCTAAAAGAATAGTTAATTTCTAAGTCTCCGGCAGTGATGCCAAAATCTTGTTCAACCACGTACACTTGCGTGCAATTGGGAGCAACAGACCTTCCGACGCATCTTGAATTTATGCATTAAGGTCACGCTCACCCTCAATTATCATGTGGTGCATTATAATACATCAAGTTAATATATCATGTAACACTTTTTTCTCCAAAAACAAGACGGTCCTGCGATAATTGCAAAACGAGATTGTAGTTTATATAATATATAGTAGAATTAACATAAATTTAATTTTTCAAAAAAGTCACATATAGAAAAATTAATTTGTAAAAAGATAAATTTTATATCTAAAATTAATATTATAAAAATATTACATAAAAAATAATTAAATATACAAGAGAATTAATTAAAACATACAAATTATATATTTAATTAAAAATTTGTATAATAAAATAATATTATAATATTCAAAAAGCTATTTGGTGTTATGAATAGTGTTACACCAAATTTGGTGTAACACTATTCATGTGGAGTCCATCCCATATTTTTTTGGTCAATTTTTACTACACAATTGCTACGTGTTAAAAAGGAATATTGAGAAGAGTTGAAATTAAAGATTTGGTACTTGACAAATTGGTAAGATTTGCAAACCTTTTTTTTTTTTTGACTTTGTTACATTTACCTATGTCGTTAGTGACATAGATATGATTTTCTCCTTCAATAAATAAAGTATTCTTGATCATTTGTAGAACACACCAAGTTAGAGAGAGAAAATCATTGTGAGAGCAAGTGAGGTATTCCACAAACTATACAAGAAAAATAGTTTTGAAGAAAGATAGAGTGTGAACAATATTTTAGTAAGGTGGAAACCAAAAGAGAGTTGTTCCTTTTGAGTGTGTAGTAGTCACTTTGAGTATTGTATTTATGACTACAAGTGCAAAATTCCTTAGTATATTGATATCAGTTGCTCCTCTTGGCCCGTGGTATTTACCTTATGTAGAAGGGTTCCACGTAAAATTGTTGATGACATTTTTTTTAATTTCCATTAATTTTACCATATGTATTTTTGTGCTTGTCTGTGTTTTTCCAGCAAACTAGTATTAGAGCCAAGGTTTTGCTGAGTATGCTCTTATGGTTGCAGCACAATCTGAACTCCATATATAAAAGATTTACTTTGATTTGCAATAAATATATTTTTGGGAAAACGATGGAAGCCAACACAAGTAGAATTGTTACTTTGAATGGTCTTAATTATTCTATTTGAAAGGGGGAAATGGAAGATTTGTTTTATGTCAAGAATTTTTACAAATAAATATTTATCACTGTAAAGCCTGATAATAAAATGATAAAGAGTGAAATCTGTTACACAAACAGGTTTGTGGATTCATTAGACAATCGATCGATGATAATGTGTTGAACAATATTTTTAGAGAGAGACATGCTCGAACACTATGGTAACATCTTGAAAGTTTATATGCTCGAAAGACTTGTAACAACAAATACTCGTAATAAAGAAGACGTTTTGAGTTTGCAGTACCATGATGGTTCTCCGATAGCATACCATCTGAATAATTTTCTAGGGATCATGAACCAATTATCTACTATGGGCATCAAATTTGATGAAGAAAAAATTAAAGGATTGATTCTACTTGGTTCCCTACCAGACTCTTCGGAAACATTTAGAACTTCATTGTCAAATTCTGCTCCAGATGGTGTGGTCTCTATGAATTCAGCCAAGAGTACTTTCTTGCACGAAGAGATGAGAAGAAAATCTCTAGATTCTTCTTCGTTGGATGTCCTGATAACTGGTCCCAGAGAGAAATAACTCGTGATTCTCAGTATAGAGAACAAACTAGGAGCAAATCCAAAGGTAGACTTAAGGATATTGAGTGTTATCATTAAAATAGATGTGAATCCTATGATTCATGGGCACGGTAAGCATATCGAGATCAGTAATCAGAGTCGGCTCCGTGCTATCAAAAATAAGGCCTTTGTCTTATTTGGGGTCTCAAATTTTTGTCAACAATAAATTATGTGTTAAAATTTTTATAAAAAAATTAATTATTTCTAATAAAAAGTATATTTTTTTTAAAAATAAATTATTTTATCTACTTTAACATTTTTTTTACTTTGTTAAAAAAAGAATCAAGAGTAAAAAGTGTTGAACAAAGTGAATTACAAAATTTTTTTTATTTCTTTTTAAATTTTAGTTTCAAGCATTACTCTAAGCATATTTAAATGAAGTATACCAAGTCATCAACTTTTTGAGTCAAATTCTATGGTTCTAATTTTTATCAACTTATTACTTAGATCTTTATGTTATCAATACAAATAATAATTGTCTCACTTAAAGAATGTTTTTCAATGTTGAGTTGATAAAATCTTACATAAACTAGTAACTGAAAAAACAATATTAAGCACTAATAATTTTCATCTAAATAATGTAAAATTATTATTTTTTGAATAAATCTGTATGTGAAATGTATTGATATTTTAAGGCCGCAAATTAAAATTTCTCTTTAGACCTAAAATTACGTTGAGCCACCCCTTGATCAGTTGTCACTTTGTATCGGAAAAGAATAAACAGGGACTGAGTTATGGTTAGCACATGCATGTTCTTACTTGAGAAGCTAAATTTCGTCTCATGTAAAAATTAGATAAATAATTTATTTTAAGCAAGTATACTTTCTCAAATTATGTGACACTCTTTCTTATGTAGTTTATCTAAAAAAAAATCGCATTTCTACAATGAGAAACAACTTAGCTTTAAATTTTTTGTTTAGTTTATCCTTAACAGAAGTATTTATAGTCTAAGAAATATCTAATTTTTATTTTAAATCATAAATTTCGAAAGTCTTATTTATTTCTTTCTTAAACATTTTGTCATTTTAAACTGTATTACATTAATTGACACGAATAAATATACAACATGTACCTGCAACAACTAAAATGATATGTGCTAACATGAAAATTTAAGCATAGTATAATAGGTTAAATTAATCAAAAGATAAGTGTAAGGTGCAAGATGCGTTATGCATGGGCCATGATATCTGCTGCTACAAGTTTTAAGCACATGCATAATATAGTAATGATACTGATTACTGGATTAGTTAACGGTTTACAAAATTAATTAATTTCTTATGAATAATTAGTCGGTTGAAGAAATCCTTCCCTTAGCGGAAACCGTTTCCTTCCTTCAAACTTAAATTAGATATATTTCTTCAGTTTCAGTTTGTTTATCTGATTTTTATGTGGAATGAACTTCTACAAAATTAAATAAATTTAAATTTTATAGTCTTAAATTAAATATATATACATAAAATATATCAAAATGGTCCTTTAATTTTATAATTTTATACATGTCATATGAAAAGTTAAAACTTAAAATTAGCATGTTCATTCACATACATCAAATATTGTGGCACATATTATTGTTAATCCTTGAACATTTTGAGTGAACTATTGAGGTGAGGTACTAGAGTTAGTTCCTTTGATTATAGAGTTGTAATCTAATGTTGTTCTTTGAAGTTAGTAAAGTTTGGTGAAATTCTAGGAGGTGTAGATCGTGATTTTTATTTCCTTAAACGAAGAAGTTTTCGACTATAAACTAAATGTTATTTACTTTATGTTCTAATACGACTCTAGAAATCAGATTTCTAGAAATAAGTTTCAATAATCACCCAATGCATTTTCTTGCTACCTCTCAACTGCTTTAGGGGACTTCTCATTATTGGTTAATAATCTATGTTGGTTTGCAAATCAATAAAAGACAATTTTTTTTTCATGTTTTATCCTTAACATTAAAGACTATTTTACCTATCATTTTTCAAAATTAAATATAAACATTAATTAGTAGGGATATTATAATAAAACTATATTAATAATTATATCTTAATGAATATATCAAATTATAATAACAAATAAAAATGAATTATATGCTTACTTTAAGGTTTGTGTTGTTCATGAGACACGA